GAAGCCTCCGTGATATCTCCTGTCTGTTGCTTGCAAGTATGTGTCTGGATATGTAGGTGGTTGAAAGCTGAACAATTGATATTCTCTGTGTGTGAACAATTGATATTGTGTGTGTGTGTGTGTGTGTGTGTGTGTGTGTGTGTGTGTGTGTGTGTGTGTGTGTGTGTGTGTGTGTGTAGGTAAGAGAGCATTTTTTTGTACAGAGGTTGGATAATGTCACAAGCCTAGCCTCTCCCTACAAGGTAGTGTGATGCTATATTTGATGAAAAAAGTTTCAAACCTCAAAACTCTGTTAAAACAGCAAAATCTCTCAACTGTTTGCTAACATTATCATGATTTGCCTTTTTCTCTCTCATTTATGTCTTCATTCACTCACGTTTGCTTCTCCTGAACCATTACTTACTAGCTTTCTCAAAATAACCTTCTAACGCACCACAAACAACATACTCTCCACCTATCAAACCACCTTAACACTCGCTCTACCCCTCCCCATCACACCCATTGCCCATGTGCTCCCTCCCCCCAACCCTCTAGTCCCACCCCATCAACCCTGCTAAACTGTCTCTCCAATCACATCCCTTCTCCCTCACGTTCTATACCCTCACTTCTCCACAACTCCAGGTCCACTCCATCAACCCACCAACGCTCGCTCATCCCTTCCCCATCACACTCCTCCCCCACATTCTAACTCCCCCCACGCCATCAACTCTCCTATACACTCACTCTACCCTTCCCCATTACACCCCTTCAGTAAACCTCCATCAACCCACCTAAATACTCACTCCCCTCCCCATCCAATTCCCCCATGTTCTAACTTCACCTCCCCCAACTCTCCAAAACACTCACTCTACCCTTCCCCATTACACCTCCTTCAGTACACCACCATCAACCCACCTAAATACTCACCCCTCCAACTCCCCCCACGTTCTAACTTCACCTCCCCCACTCCATCAACTCTCCTAAACACTCACTCTACCCTTCTCCATCACACCCCTTCCCCCACCCCATCAGTACACCACCATCAACTCTCTTAAACACTCACTCTACCCTTCTCCATCACACCCTTCCCCCACCCCCATCAGTACACCACCATCAAATCTCCTAAACACTCACTCTACCCTTCCCCATTACACCCCTTCCCCAAATTCTCCCCTTCCCAACCTTCCAGCCCCACTCCATCAAATCTGCTAACTAAACAGTCACTATAATTATATAACCTCCATGTTCTCCGCCTCCACCCCCCACCCCTACATGGTCTCCATTCCACCCTCCACCCCCTCTCACATCCTCTCCAAGTGAGCAGTGTATATTATTGATCTCAGACTCAATATCCTCCACTAACATGGCCACTGCTGTAATCTAATCTTCTACTTACGCAACCCACAAATTAGGTTCCAGTCCGCCACCCCTGAGTCGGCTACAGATAGAAGCCATAAAATACAATCTGCGGAAATTGAGAAAATATTTTATTCTATTTACCTACTTCATCAACTCTATAATTTGATAGAACTTGGCAAAAGGGCAGAGGGAAGTTTTCCAACATATCTGATTATAAGAACTTTACACTAAACTTTAGTTCATCCACGTCCTGGAACAGAGCCAAAATTCCATTAGACTATAACTGTTTTCAAACGCAAATCAAAAAATTGTACATATTATATTCAACACAATATTGTTTTTAATCCACTTCCACCAATATTTAAAGAAGAATAAATATCTCCTTTGATAGGAAAAAGATTTATTTCATGAGTTTGTCCAAGAATGTATAAATCACACATGCAATATTGCACCAAAAGCGCTGAATTGAAAAACAACTTCACATTTTCGTACAAATACCACCATCTATCCTATGAAAGCAAACTGTCATCATTTATGGTATCCAAGGGCAAGAAAACAAAGCAGTTCTTTCAAACAGAACATAAAAACGTTTCTCTCTCGAAGTATTGCAAAACTAATTGAGTAAAATGACTGGAGATCTATGAATGATTCAAGGCCCGGCTCCACTGGTACTGGCTTCGAAAGAAGTACAATGTTTACAAGTCCCTCCGGCCTTCATTAATATCCCTTCAGAGATGTTGTTAAGTACGTCTCCACGCTCCGTATTCACCATCACAAGCACTGACACCTATACTACTTTCCAACAACTTGTAACATTCATTTAACCAAAATAAAAGCCCCTATCTGAAAAATGAAAAATTCGATTCTTGGAGGAGAATGCTGTTCCTGTACATCATCGCTGTGTTACGAAACAGGCAACAGGCCTGTCATACTATTCTCTGATGGCTAACGAAGCTTAACAGTTTTTCACTACTTCCCCTTCAACTTGTTACACTCATTCAACCATAAAGAAACCACTAAAGAGTAAAAGTACTAAAACATTTGCTTTTTATCGAGTTGCATGAGTATGTGACAGTTGTTTGGCTGAGAAGACACCAGGGCCTAGATTGTCGAAGCTGTCTTAGAGCTAAGATAGTCGCAAGTGCCATACATTAACATTAACTTACGACTATCTTAGCTCTAAGAGTGCTTCGAAAATCTGGGCCAAGGTCTGTAGCATTGTACATATCTTCTCTGATATTAAGGCTTACCATAATTTATACTACTTCCCTACAACTTCCTGAATTTTTTTAACAAAACTGACTAGAAATTTGCTTCTTGGCAGGGAATGATGACACTGACGTTTCTGGTGTTCTGTTGACCAGCCATACTGGGGAAACCTACTGGAATATGATTCTTTGGGGGATTACTTGTATTTTCTATAAGCAGTCAGAGCGAGTGATTAGAGGTCAGGTTTAGAAAGTTTTGAGCAATATTTCAGTAACACTACGGCCAGGTACACCAAAAACTGGCTTCGCATGTACCCATGTTTTTGGAATCGAACGCAGACCTTTGGCAGGACCAGCGAACACCCTAACCACGAGGCTACCTCAATGCCCTAAAAATGCAGCATGAAGTCACTTTAACACACTCATAATGAGTATGACAGTCTCTGTCTGTTTGTCATCAGTTCAAATTCAGCAAAAATCTGATGGCAGCCTGTTTTTGTTTCGTTTTGGTTGTTGAGGGGAGGGGAGGGGGGAGAGAGGAGGACTAGCCTTGTCATATACATGTATCTAGTGAGGCAAGTGTGTCCAACGTGGCATGTCTACATTCCCTGCTACAGTAATGTTGAATATTTGCCGACCTAATGCCACCAGAACATGATGAACGATACTTTTACTTGTACAACTAATAATGACTGCAGATAACGACGTAAAATACCAATACTTGCACAACTACTGTATGTCTGCAGAAAATGCAAGATACTATTACTTGCACAACTAGCTGCAGAAAATATGTGAAATACTGTTACTTGCACAACTAATAAATGACTGCAGAAATGATGTAAGATACTATTACTTGAACAACCAATAAATAACTGCAGAAAATGATATAAGATGCTATTACCTGCACATCTGATTATGGATAGTTGACAGACAAGAGGACTCCCGCAGAAAATCTGAGGATTTTATAGTGTAATAGCAGCCAAACTACAGAATTATTACAGAAAATTATGGCTCTGAGTATTCAGAACAATTATACCATTTCACTGTAGATGACATTCATCTTTTGACTGCAGCCATCATCAAATGGCAGCAACATGAAGATGAAAAAGAAGCTTAAAATGGCCTTTTTATCAAGTAACTTAAATTGCACGAAGGAGGTGCAGAAAGAATCTCTTTACTTCCAATTAAATGAGGTGGATTACCCACGTTTCAACATGAAGCCAAGGATGTGCTGTCTATCAATACAAAAACATCCTGTATCTATGAGGAGCAAAGGTTCTTGGTGCAGAGAGTTTATCATTACGCTCCACCCCTCCACCTTGCCTTATAATCAGTTGACACTAAAAATATCATAAATTGGTTGTAAAAGGCCAGCTTGATTTTAGATCAGCAATTACAGGTAACCTGATCTGGTAGCAGGCAAAGTTGCTATTCATATAGATGTTTTGGGTCATCCACAGTCTGAAGGGTGTTGGGTCATCCTCGTTCATTCAGTTGTGGTGTCATTCTGAAGATGTTGGGTCATTCTGAAGGTGTTGGGTCATTCTGAAGATGTTGGGTCATTCTGAAGGTGTTGGGTCATTCTGAAGATTTTGGGTCATTCTGAAGGTGTTGGGTCAGTCTGAAAGTGTTGGGTCATTCTGAAGATATGGGGTCAGTCTGAAAGTGTTGGGTCATTCTGAAGATGTTGGGTCATTCTGAAGGTGTTGGGTCAGTCTGAAAGTGTTGGGTCATTCTGAAGGTGTTGGGTCAGTCTGAAAGTGTTGGGTCATTCTGAAGATGTTGGGTCAGTCTGAAGGTGTTGGGTCATTGAAGGTGTTGAGTCAGTGTGATGGTGTTGGGTCATTCTGATGGTGTTGGGTCAGTCTGAAGGTGTTGGGTCAGTCTGAAGGTGTTGGGTCAGTCTGAAGGTGTTGGGTCAGTCTGAAGGTGTTGGGTTGGTCTGAAGGTGTCAGGTCAGTCTGAAGTGTTGGGTCGGTCTGAAGGTGTCAGGTCAGTCTGAAGGTGTTGAGTCATTCTGAAGATGTTGGGTCAGTCTGAAGGTGTTGGGTCAGTCTTAAGGTGTCAGGTCAGTCTGAAGGTGTTGGGTCAGTCTGAAGGTGTTGGGTCATTCTGATAGTGTTGGGTCAGTCTGAAGGTGTTGGGTCAGTCTGAAGGTGTTGGGTCAGTCTGAAGGTGTTGGGTCAGTCTCAAGGTGTTGGGTCGGTCTGAAGGTGTCAGGTCAGTCTGAAGTGTTGGGTCGATCTGAAGGTGTCAGGTCAGTCTGAAGGTGTCGGGTCAGTCTGAAGGTGTCGGGTTAGTCTGAAGGTGTCAGGTTGGTCTGAAGGTGTTGGGTCAGTCTGAAGGTGTTGGGTCAGTCTGGTGTAAGGTGTAAAATTATCCCTGTTTAGTCTGCTGTCCAGGCAGATGGTCCATCCACAAGAACACAGTAAGCCCACGACAAAAAACACCTACCCTGTTGGCCAGTTCCAGGAAGTTTCCAGCAGCTGAGCAACTCTCTGTCATGTGCTTGATGGTCCCCGGGTCATGTGACTCCATCAGTTTGGACAAGCTGGCAGGTTCTGGGCTGCACAGATCTCTGGCTCCGCTGTCGTAGTCCACACTTTCGGGTTTACCAGAATGAGCACCTTCAGAAAGAAAACAGTCAAAATGTTGTCACAGATGAGTGAGTGAGTGAGTTTAGTTTTACGCCACACTCACCAATATTTCAGCTATATGGCGGCGGTCTGTAAATAATTGAGTCTGGACCAAACAATCCAGTGATCAACAACATGAGCATCGATCTGCGCAATTGGGAACCGATGACATGTGTCAACCAAGTCAGCGAGCCTGACCACCCGACCCCGTTAGTCGCCTCTTACGACAAGCATAGTCGCCTTTTACGACAAGCATGGGTTACTGAAGACCAATTCTAACCCGGGACCTTCACGGGTCTTATCCGAGATGAGAATGAGCGAGTGTATCAAGCTAGTTTCATTCCATTTAAGTTTCATTCTGTTAAGGCACATGTCCTCAGTTGTGACTGACAGGAAGTGGGGTAGTCCAGTGGTTAAAGTGTTCACTTGTCACACCAAAGACCCGAGTTTGATGCTCACATGGGTACAATGTGTGAAGCCCATTTCTGTAGTCCCATTGCCATTGCTTAAAGTGGCATGAAACCTTATTCACTCACTAACTACTGAGAGAATACAGAATCTGGAGATATACTTGGCAGCACATATGAATACAATCATGGTGATCTAAAGGCAGGGTAGACCCTAATGCTTGAATCCCCATGGCGTTCTGGACAGAATAGGTCCCCAGACCCCATGCGTGTATTCACCACCACAACTCCAACATTCATGGCAGACCTGTTCACCATTTTTGTGTCAGAAGATAGGGGGATTGGGTGGTCAAAATGGGTCAGGTTTTGGGTCATATACTTGCTCATGCCATCAATCATTAGCCCAGATATTACTTACTTACTTATGAGTGAGTGAGTATGGTTTTACGCCGATTTTAGCAATATTCCAGCAATATCACGGCGGGGACACCAGAAATGGGCTTCACACACTGTACCCATGTGGGGAATGGAACCCGGGTCTTTGGTGTGACGAGCGAACGCTTTAACCACTAGGCTACCCCAACGCCTCTACTATTACATATGGGCAGTTATGATTCAGTTCCTATACTGATAATTGTGGTCTAAAACATCACCACAGTTTCAACTACAGTCCATTTGATTTCATTTGAGACCAATGAATTGCTCACTAACACAAAATCTAATAAATGCAACAAAACCAAATTCTGCACCGTCACATGAAATCAACAGACCAACTCTGATGATTTGTCTCATAATTTTGGACACCCGAATAAAAAAGTTGTTTAACAAACGATCATTATTTTGTTGTCACTTTTCGCTGGGGGGACCACTTGATGGTTCTCCCCTTGTAAGTAAAAGCGAAAAGTGACAACAAAATAATGATCAACTGGACTGTAACCATAATCATTTAATCACGGCTGATTTGTCATCTAACTTTCTATCATGAGTGAGTGAGTGAGTGAGTGAGTGAGTGAGTGAGTGAGTGAGTGAGTGAGTGAGTGAGTGAGTGAGTGAGTGAGTGAGTGAGTGAGTGAGTGAGTGAGTGAGTGAGTGAGTGAGTGAGTGAGTGAGTGAGTGAGTGAGTGAGTGAATTTTGTTATGTGCTGCTTTTTGCAATATTCCAGCAATATCACGGCGGGGGACACCAGAAAAGGGCTTCACACATTGAACCCATGTGGGGAATCGAACCAAGGTCTTCAGTGTGACAAGCAAACACTTTAACCACTAGTCTATCCCACCGCCCTACCTATCATCTGTAACCAAGAAGATTTTGATCAAAAGGTCTCAACACTTCAACGATCAACAATCCCTTGTACGTAGAATCCCTGCTACCACCAAATGTTGTTTTCCTCTTTCACACAACATAGACAATACACAACCTCAAGGTAGGTAAAACAAGAATGCCAGCCCTGCCTCTCTGAGCTCTAAACATTCTCATAATCACAGTGGGAAACAGTACGTCTCAGAAATAACTAACTCCGAAACATAATTACATTTAAACCGATTTTATGTGTGTGCCCTCGGTGCCCCGGCGTTAAAGTCGACGTTGTGTAATCCATCTTACTAGTCGCCAATTAGCCCCCATGGTTCTTCAAAACATAGGAATTATATTTTCAGTGGTTTTGTTACCATGGCAAGTAAAACTGAAGGGCTTAAAGGATAAAAATGCCAAAAGCTTATCTTCAGACCAGAACATTCCTCGTTGTTTCATGTGGGTTCTCTGACGGAATCACCTCATACAAGGCCACAAATAGTTTATATGATCGTAAATTTTAGTTGGTGCTAATCCCTGCTGACATTAAATGTGTTACGGATTCTACAGTTGAAGACCGAGGAAGCAAGTGAATGGTTTCACACTGTTATGGACATTATTACAGAGTGAGTGAGTGAGTGAGTGAGTGAGTGAGTGAGTGAGTGAGTGAGTGAGTGAGTGAGTGAGTGAGTGAGTGAGTGAGTGAGTGAGTGAGTGAGTGAGTGAGTGAGTGAGTGAGTGAGTGAGTGAGTGAGTGAGTGAGTGAGTGAGTGAGTGAGTGAGTGAGAGTGAGGTGAGTGTAGTTTTCCGCAGCTTTTAGCAATATTCCAGCAATATCACAGCAGGGAACACCAGAAATGGGCTTCACACATTGTACCCAAGAAGGGAATCAAACCCAGAGTCTTCGGCATGATAAGCGACCACTTTAACTACTAACTACCCCACTGTATTACAGTTATACCACAGATATGTAATATAGAATATTAATAAAAGAGTGAGTGAGTGTTGTTTTATGCAGCTTCTAGCAATACTCCTGCTACATCCTGGGACAATGGCATCATGAGTGTCAACAGGGATACAATGACACGTGTCAACCAAGTCTGACCACCCAATCCCGCAGTGGTCTCAAGCAGAAGTTGCTGAAGACCAATTCTAACCCAGATCGTCATGGGTGGCTCAGAAATACAATACAATACAATACAGGGAAAGACCATCCCATCAAGTTTTGATTCAGATCATTAAAATGCTAATTTGTTTATCCACTAATTCAACAGTTTTATGTACCATACATTATTGATCTCATAGATAAGCCAACCCCTAACTTGACCCTTAAAATCAGTATCAAAATGGTATGTTCCGTTGATAAGCCAACCCCCCAAACTTCGCCCATCTTTTCGTCATGATCAGTCATTGGAAATAGTGTCAACAAATCAAATTGTTCCAAAACTATCCAGCAAGACATCCAAGTGCTGTCACATAACCTTAGTTATGATTATAAATATTTTACATTTATTGAGCAAAACCTGCAATCATAATTTTACAATGCGAGAATATATTTCTCTTGGTAAAATAATAGTTTCAGATACTACATTTTCCCAATCACTGCATCAGAATTCATCTTGTTATATATATGTTTTAAATAAATCAGCGGAAGATCAGGGAAATGCGTTCACAGCTGATCGCTAATCTTCATCCCTGCATATAAGATAGTACCTAGCAAAAACAAATTGGAACTGAAAAGGTATATAATCTTGTCTAGTGATGTTTAATTGCAAATTTGAAGTCTTTACTGACAAAGTCGTCATCACTTGTTCGTTCACGCAAAGCAATACAATGTTGTTTTCTTACCCGCTGAAAAAAGTTACACGAAAGTATATCCGATAGCCAACCCCTTCTACAGACTGCTTTTTTTTTATCCTCAAAATTCAGCTTATCTAGGGTAATATACAGTACCTTAACTACATAGCGGCAACATTTCAGTTTCCTGAAAGGCTCTGCTTACAGCTTACAACATATTTGATTTTGATCATCTTTTTTCACTATGTACAAAAAAACATTCTTGTTCTACTGACTTCGTAAAAAATTAATTCATAAGACAAATTATAATTGACTGTGTTGTGACAAGTTGTCTTACCTATACTATCGCTACTCATCGTCGGCCATGATGTAATATTCTGCGTTGTAGTAACTTGAAAGCCACTTGTGTCCGAGTCGATTCCAGTGTCGTCAGCAGCGTTGCCCATAAAAGGACATTGTTCGGCCTCTAACATGACACGTGAGCGACAGCGGAGAAAGTCACTGAAGGAGATTTGGCACCTGGTGTTCATCCCGAGCTGCGCCATGATCTCTTGTGCCGAGTCCTCCATGTTCAACTGGCTGCACATGTAGATGAAGTCGTCACTGAAACAGTACAAAGGTCATCGTGAGTCAGTGTTGGTTTGATTGTTTATGTGTCTGTTTGTTTGTTTGCTGGTTGGTTGGTTGGTGGGTTTATTTAACATCACAATCTGCAAATATTTCAGCAATAACACGCACAGACTGAAGGTAATCAAGTCTGGACCAGACAATCCAGTGATTCATGCTTTTAACAAACCCAAAAATCCTAAAGGGTGAAACAGTTCTGCCAATGAAGATGTTGCCTAATGCCATACATTCTAAGGAACCAATAATTCGACATTAGGGATGTTAAAATTAATTAAAACTATGATGATCAAGTTTGTTTAATTTTTCAAATCCATTAACAAAATATTTTTAGTGGCTGACATTTTCTTCACCTAACAACAATCTAGATCCATGACTGGCATTTTAGAAGATGCTATTTCATGAACATAAAGAGTTTCCTGGATTTCATCTTCTTTTTCTTCTTTGATACAACGTTTCGGGGCCTGTTCATGCCCCATTATCAGGTAAAACTAAATTTAATTAGTTGTATCAAAGGATAAAAAGAAGATGAAATCGAGGAATTTCTTTATGTTCAACAACAGGCTGTAGAAGAGTTAGGTTTGTCAAGTCCTAGTCCTGAGCTCCCTCAACCTCACTATTTTCCTTTTCAATAAGCCACTTCTGCAATGCCAAAGGCCTTAATAATGCAAGTCTAGATTCCACAGGTTCTGAATCTCCCATCTCACTGGGGCTCCTTTTCAAACTAAACAGGATTATTTCTTTCCATCAAAATCATACCCTTTCAGAGACTAAGCGTTAGTCTAGTCAAGTAGAATATCCTCCTTCTCCCGAAATATCAAATGGACGTCAGGGACCTATATCAGAATGGTACTACCACAAACTGAAAAATCTAAATGCCAAACAATCCATTCCCAGTTAACTTTTTTGAGAGGCATTTAGAAGTTGGCGCCATGTATTGTCATCTTTCCTTATTCCTCGTTCCCAATTAGTAGGGCAATCCCAATTTAAATGGGATTAAATGGTATTATATGTATCGATTAAATTGAATATATATTAAGAGACTAAACATTCCTGCTTGACACCAGTACACGAACCTGTATTGAAAAGTCACACTCGCGAAATAAAAAAAGTTGTTATCCATAAAGTCTGTCCAATATTACACGTCCCAACTTCTAAAATACCACTCAAAGAAGGTACGAGACTAAGCGTTTGTGCAAAACAGTATAAAATACATATTGGCTTCACTAATTCCTTAGAGTGAAAATCAAACTGGCTTCGTAAATTGGTTAATCTATGCTTGGAATCAAACTCTGGTCTTTTGAGTGTCAGTTAAACGCCTGCACCACTCAGCTATCCAAACCTTCCTCAATGTCAGCCAACTGTTTTATCTCCCACGCGGAGAACACACACTGGATTAATACACAATAAACACCCAATAAATCACTTCAAAGCATAATTCCCTTCTGTTGACACCTCTCAAAACTAACAAAGGCTTAATTACAGGTAAAAAGAACTATTTTACGAGTTGTTTTTGTAGCGCTAGATCAATCACGCATCACTTAGCTTGTCTCCCTGAGCTATTATCCTGTGGATTTTTTACATCACATTTTTATTGAAAGAATATTTACTGAATTAATTTCAGTAGTATTTTCTAAACATTCAATATTTCCAGGTATCCATTTTTATTTGCCACATTATTAGAATCAATAAGTATTATGAGATTTTCATCATTAGAATATGAAACATTATGACTTTATTTGCATCCATGATTCATAGGGCAAACAGAAGGGCTGGGATAAAATATAAAAACTGAATTTCAAATTTTCTAAGGTCTAGTTGAAGAGAAGCTTTAATTCATTGACGGGCTTTATCGGACTATGAAAGAAGAATTCAACTGGGATAAAACAGCCCTATCGAAGGATTGACATCAATTTTTAGTTCACTGAATTATGAATCAGGAAAGGAAAATCAAAGTGTATGAGTTTGATAGGGGATTCAGCTCAGCATTCATTGACAATTAGCATAGCTCGTTAATATAATTAACCAATACAGAATAAATTTCTGATGTATTGCAATGAAAAATACTTTTCAATTCGAAAAGCTCTCCATAGTTTACACATTTCTTATAATTTCTTTATTATATGCATGGAAAAAGCCACTTGAAATTAGCATAGAATTTCAATTTTCTGGATGTTTAATGATTAAAACATATTATACTGATTATAAAGATTTCTGAACGTGCCAGTGGATTACATTTTATGCCACCTCAGCAATATATTCACAAAAAGGAACAATAATACCCCAACATGCTCATGTTACAAGGACTGCCTCTGGTGTAGTGGTTAGAGCGTTCGCCCGGGAAGGTCGTGGGTTCGATCCCCGACCGCGTCATACCAAAAGACGTTAAAATATGGTACTTGTTGGTCCCTGCCTGACGCTCGGCATTAATGGGTACAACAAGGACTGGTTGGCTCGGAGTCAGTATAATGTGTCTGAGTGGGGTATTCATGCTTCACTGCGGCATGGTATCTCAGTGGGCTAGCACGAAAAAACCAGCTTCAGTCTGGGCTAGTACAAGCAGCCGCACATACACATACACACGCATGCACGTCGTCATATGAGCGAAATATTCTCAAGCACGACGTTAAACCCAATTTCACCTCACCTCACCTCATGTTACAAATTAGCACTGAGATCAACCCTCTTTTCTATTTATCATGTATGCATGAATTATGAACAAAATGGAAATCAGTAAACATTGTTAAACAAGAGAAATTACTGGTCTAGCCTTGATTGAGTGAATAAGTTTAGTGGTATGCCGCACTCAGCAATATTCCAGCTATATGGGGGGCGGTCTGTAAATAATGGAGTCTGGACCAGACAATCCAGTGATCAACAGCATGAGCATCGATCTACCTAACTGGGATACAATGACGAGTCAGCAAGCCTGACCACCCAATCCCGTTAGTCGCCTCTTACGACAAGCACAGGTTACTAAAGATCAATTCTTACCCAGATCTTCACAGGTCGATCTCGCCTTCATATGACTTTTGGCAAACTCTTAGCAGATCATAGAAACTGAACATGGAATAAATACTGCATAATCTCTTCATGACTCCAAAAGCCATACAACCCATATAAAACATTTCTTTTGATTTCACAAACTTTTTCAAAAAAGGAATGAATCCAGAGATACATAGGTCAGAGCACACGAGTCAAACTGGTAAAAAATTACTTTGATGTTTTCAACTTCTTCCCACTTGCATATGAAAGAGGAATTTATGCTGTTTCAAATGAATCCACACATAGGTCTAACACAAGCAATCAGACCTAAACTTGCCACATTTGAATCCCAGACCTCAAATTTAGGATGGACAAAAAGACCCATAACAGATCAATATCTATCTCACTAACTAGCAAACATCAGTGACTTTCCGCAGCAAACCACCTCCTACATGATACTGCTGTTTATCATTTAAACGTGCAATAATTCTCATATTGTCCTGCTTATCTGTGTACTCTGCTGGTTCAATTCATCCAATCAAAGAGCTCCGCTATCAAATCCCTCTCCGCTCTCGATCAATCAGCGTTTTATGGCTTTCCGTAAATTGGCACCATTTCAACAAGGGACGTTAATGCAAAAATCAAACACTATAAAATCCTACATGACGGCCAAGTAATTCCGCAAGCTAACATTTACAAAATGTTTGAATTTCCGAAAGCATTCCACGCATCAGCAAACTTATAAGTAGAAATCAAGTAAATTTGTCAACCAATTACGAAATTCTGTTTGATCAGTAGGGCTATTACTTGGACCTGTTTTGTATTCTACAAAATGAACCACTGAATGGGTGATGAAAATCTCTTTAGTGGAAATCAGTTTAGGAAAATACTTTCATCTAGGTCAGGGTGACCTTCAGAGGCGAGATCGCTGTGACCTGAGACTAATATAAATTGCCAAATGATTTTGAGACATATATTCTGGATATAAATGGTATACAGCATTTCAGACATGAATCAGGAGCCATTAGATATAAGTGTAACACACATGATTCTGATGGAGCCATAACAGATTCAAAAGTGATTCACATGGAGCCATTGTACATGTGTCAGATATGATTCACATGGAGCCATGTACATGTGCCAGATATGATTCACATGGAGCCATTGTACATGTGCCAGATGATTCACATGGAGCCATTGTACATGTGTCAGATATGATTCACATGGAGTCATGTACATGTGCCAGTTGATTCACATGGAGCCATTGTACATGTGCCAGATATGATTCACATGGAGCCATTGTACATGTGCCAGATATGATTCACATGGAGCCATTGTACATGTGCCAGATGATTCACATGGAGCCATTGTACATGTGCCACATGTGTCAGATATGATTCACATGGAGCCATTGTACATGTGCCAGATATGATTCACATGGAGCCATTGTACATGTGTCAGATATGATTCATGGAGCCATTGTACATGTGTCAGATATGATTCACATGGAGCCATTGTACATGTGCCAGATATGATTCACATGGAGCCATTTACATGTGTCAGATATGATTCACATGGAGCCATTGTACATGTGACAGATATGATTCACATGGAGCCATTATACATTCAGATATGATTCACATGGAGCCATTGTACATGTGTCAGATATGATTCACATGGAGCCATTGTGCATGTCAGACATGATTCACATGGAGCCATTGTACATGTGCCAGATATGATTCACATGCAGCCAATATAGCGATTATTCAATTAAAAATTATTCAGTTGGAGCCAGTGTACATGTGTGATACATGATCTAAATGGAGCCAGAATTTGTAAGCATTATAAACGATTCAGCATGATTCAGAAGGAGCAACTGCAAATAGATGAACAGATCCTAGATATGATGGTATATAGCATTACAGGTATCATGCAAATGGAGCCAGGGTGTATTAATGTTACAGACACGATTCACATGGAGTCAGGATGTATAA